TTCAGTTTTCCAGAGGGAAGAAAAATACAAAACCAAAAAAAACTAAGCAAGTGGGCCTCTCCAATGCCTTGATGACTCTGTAGTTAATAGTGTATTATGTCATTATGTCATTTTCTAAACTAAAGGCTTTGGTTTAATTCAGGATACTCTTGAATTCAGTATCTACCAGCTAAAGTGGATTTCTGTTCATTTATATGTCACAGATTTTGTTGTCATTTAACATTTAGATGTTTATTTATGTTAGACCTCACAATCCAAACACAGACTGGTTTATTTTTTTCAAAAATGCTTTTTTCCCCCCTTTTTTTGTACATTTTCATTAGTTTGGCATCTTCGGTCTTACAAAAAAGTAAGCAAGCTTCTATGATTCAATCTATCATTATTTATATTTTTTTTTTCAGCTTTTTCTGGCATTTTATAGACCCATCAATGATTTCAAAAAAGGCAGAACAATAAAACTATGAAAAGAATCGGTAGTTGCTCTCATATTATAGTGAGGAACTCGATTTACAACTGTTAGTGGGTTACAGCTGCTTTTTTTAAATACGAAAAGAGGTTTGGCATGCTTACAGCATAATCAAATTGACACATCACTTACCAGCCAACAGACTCCCAGCAGCGGCGTCTTCCAGGCTCAAATGTGCGTAGAGCCTCCCAGATATCAAAGTCTGGAATGGGGCTAGGCTCTGACTGAGAGTCTGGGGTCAGGTTGGAGGCTGACTGGAAGCCCTCGTCTTCACACTGATCTAAACAAGGAGGCACCTGCAGAGAACAACAAAGAGAGAGTGCATAAAGCAATGCAAAGATAAATTATTTAAATCAAACACTGTGCAAATATGAATATGCTGAGCTGCTGAAGTGGACATGTGATAAAACAGCCTAAGCTAATCTATTACTTAAGGATTAAGTATTACTTAAGGATATAATATGGTGTCTTACTCGTATCGCCAACCCTGTTACATCAATATTACTGGGGATTGGAGGAAGATCTAGTCTTATGTCCATGTCTGAGGTGCGAGTGTGCTGGAGTGCTCCAAACAGCGTCAGCCTGGTCTCCTTTTCAAATCTTTCTTCTGCTTCTAGTTTTGTTCTCAAAGCTAGCAGTCCTGTTCCAGGTAGAGCATCCATCAACCTCTGAGTTCCATACAGACTCTCCAAAGTCCCCCATTCCTCCCCACACACCAGACCCCATGCCCGGGCCTCCAGCCTCTGCAAGTCCTCACTTTGGTAGCTCCATGGTTGAGGCATCCGCAGCACAGGCCTCTCTCTTCTCATATAGTCCCTGCTGAACGAGGTAGGGGGAGGAGGTGCCGACCCAGCAAGGTTCACAAGAAGGTCAAGGACTGCATCTACTTCCTTCAAACCAGAGTATTCTCCCTTTGGCAGCCTCTCGAGCTGCTCTTCCAGCCTTTCTGCTTCCTCTAGACAGCCAGCCACGCGCAAATCAAAACATATCATCAAGACTTTATTTCTCGGTGGTGTATTAGCTGTGGCACTCAGTCCTGGTGCAGGTCCTTTGGTGCCATCTTGAAACAGCTTAGACAGGAGGGCACCGTAGGCGCGTTTTTTAAGAGCCCTGTGGAAACTTTCTCTTGAGACTCCTCCCAGTGCTCTGCGCTTCCATGACACCCCAGAAAGGCTGCAGTCACACAGGGCACTCAGCAGTTCTGTGATGCTGCTGCTGGTACAGCTGGGCATCATGCAGTTGTTAAGGCTTGGGTTCATGGTAGCTCTCTTCCCTCAGCCTGTATGAGTAAAACAAACAAGTTTTAGGTGATTGCTTTTAGAACAACTGTAACTATAACAGACGTTTTCCTAACAACACATAGACATCAGACAATAACTCAGTTCAACCAACACTGGTGTGATAGACATATTACTGTTGACTACTTCCTTTATAAACCACAGTATACATACGTACACACACACTGTATATAACAGTGTGTTATATACACACACACACACATTGTACATAACAGTGTGTGTGTGTGTGTGTGTGTGTATGTATCCTATACATCGTGCGCTTACTCTGGCTGTTTTTACATGTATACTGTGTCAGCTAACTAGCATCACTGTTAGCCTTATTAGCTAACGTTTGAGATATCAAACGGCATGTTTTTGTTTCTTTAGCAAGCCCTGTGCTATTCCGAGCGAAAACTATCTTTCCTTCTTGTAGTTTTCTATCTTCTTGGTATAGTATTATATGTATTAATTCACCTGAAAATCTGAACCTTGCATCCACCTCCAGCGACTCCTCCGGTGCATGCTACCGTTTGTTGTGACCAATGTACCTCTGCATCGATTAGCCTTCCAGCTACGTTTAAGCGCAATAACAGTCGGACCAATTATATATTTATTTTGATTTATTTTTTTATTTTTTTTTACTTCAGCTACAAATTAATTTGCAGTGTTGCTGCACTTGGGAGCTAAAAGCAAGCTAGGTGCCTCATTCATCTTCCATCGTCCGCCGCAAGGAAACAACAAACAGTAGATCTGCCTCTCCCTGTCTCTGATTGGACAATCAAGTTCTCCTCTGCAAATGACTGGCTAATGATACTGCAGAGGGCAGACTGATTGGTCCGTTTTGTTAGTCCGTCAGGGGATGAGAAAAGTGTCATTTGTAACCGCGCTTTGCTGCATTCAGGTGTTACAGGAAAAATGTAATTTTATCTACCATGACAGGACACTTTTAAGTAATTGACGATAATTATTAATGAACAGAACTCTTAAAATGACAAAAAAAAAAGAAAGAAGTATCCAGAGAAAACACTTTCAAAGCTACTGCAGCCAGTACTGCAGTTCTGCTTGTTTGGGAGTAAAATCGTTTAATAAATAGACAATTTCAATGATTTATCAGCAAAACACCTAAGCAGTTTCCACTACTTATGGGTGAATGCATTCTAATTACAGACCTGATGGTTGAATATGGTCTCCTCTTTTCGCTGATCAGATTCCTGAAAAAGTTGACAGGCACTCATGCAGCCTCCAACAATTATGCATCCCTAGTGTGAATGCAGTTAATGACCTGGGTCAAAACCGATAGGCTCAGTTTCCCAGAAATGGATCAGGCCTAGTACTAACCATACCCCCGTCTCCAATGGAGGTCTTTACTGAATTTATCTTTAAGTCTAAGACTAGGAGTAATCCCTGTCGGAGAAACCTGCCTATAGTTCTTGTTTTGCAGTACAGTCCAAGGATCACCTGCAGCTAAAGTTGTTTTAGATTTAAGTGGGCTTTGTCCCTCATGTTTGAGGAAAGAGTACCTCTTTAATGGCCAGCATGAGCAGTAATCAGAAGAATTACCTGTACTCGTGAATGTTATTTTCCTTTAATTATATTTTTTCTCGCAAACATATCTGACAAATGAAGTGGGAGGTGCTTTGTATGTACACCTAATTAAGTCGTTATAATTACATTTAAAAAAGCATATAGTGATATTGATGGCTTTTTTTTAATTATTATTGCCTATAATAACTTGTATATCACACAATTAAAAACATTTTGAGGCTCTTTTTATGTGTGTGATTTTGAAACATCAGTAAATCAGTTTTCTTGAGATACTGCCGCCCCTCACTACTCGTTAGACTTAATAGTTAAGTAGACTACAACCAATTTAAACTCATACTAAGCTTAATAAAATCCCACATGTGAAAATCCAAGCTAACTCAACGAGATATTTTAATTTGCTCACAGGATATGAGCTTAGAGAACCCTGGAGTCAGAAACTGCCTGCGTGGTTTTAAATTATTCATCAGAACAACTGTTTAGAATGACACCACACCATCATTGTTTTTATTTGCTCCAAGTTCTCCTCCTCCTCCTCCTCCGTCCCTAAGGCAGAGAGAATCAAAGCCAAATCTCGTTAGGAGGTTTCAAACGTGGAGGTGAGACTTAACCTGCAGAAGGAGAGGCTGGCTGCATTGTGTGAAGAAGCATCCTATGCGGGAGAACAGAAGCCAGGAATCGTGCAGATTTTAACCCAATTTCTTGAAACCCGGCACAGAGGCTGACTGAAAAATAATTATTCTTAGTGTGCAGTATCATTGATTTCTAGACAGTGAAGGGCATGGTTATTTAGAAATCTTATCACAAGCGCTGTGCGCGGCAAATAATGTTGAATCCCAAAATGATGTAAGGTGCGTGTCCTAATAGGAATATAAAGTACGGTATCGCCTTTGATTTCCCGCAAGTGATCAAGGATAGTGTACAAAATGCAGTGCTTGCGATAATCAAGTGTAATCACTCTTGCTTTGGCAGCAGCCCTTGAAGTTGCTCTATCTGTTGCTGCATCAGTGATCCGCCCGGTTCGAAGATGGCCCGTGCAGGCTCCAAGTCTGTCTTTGATATCTCCACCCCTGCGTCTGGGTTTGTTAAGCAGTCAGATGAGGCAATTTTGCCTTTCATCTTTCTTTTTTCCAATTTCATTCTTAGCTGTCAGTACTTAATTAATGTTTTTTGCCGCAATTTTTCCAACCTTCACCGCCGATGACAGAGATGCGGCGCGGCTATTTATATTATCAACTCATTTCATGAAGCCAGACCTTGGCTTCTAGTTTGTATTCCGAGCCTTGTGACAGGAACCTGATGTGGCATTTGGGGGAAAAAGCATCAGCCATCATAGGATATGCTGCATATGAAGACTGATGATATCAACTGATGTTATCAACAAAGTCGTTTGGGGTCATAATATGAAGGAATATGTGTGATAAGGGGGAAAAAACTGTCAGCTTTTGACACTTGGTCCTCTTCTTCATAAATAGGGCTATGGTGGTTTTAATTTTCAGAAACCCCACCATTACTCTTGCCTGTGCATGTTGTCTTCATAAGGTCATGCAGAAATACCAAAGACTTGCACAAAAGAGAGTTTCCTTCAGCGGTGGAAAAAGCTATTCTATCATCCAAGGTGATTGTTTCTCATGCATTATTCGTGAGAGGTGGGTGTCAAATTGAAGCAAATCAATATGCTGAAGGTGAAAGAAACACATCAGATATGAAGAGAGTATATGTCTCTGAGTTTATTAACGGAGGAGTGTATGATGAAACCTGTAACCCTCCGTCCACACACAACTTTTGTAAAATTAAGTTCATCCAGTACAACCAGATCAGGTACAAGATCAAGAATCTTCTGAGCTGCCTCGGATGTGAAGGAAAACGTTTGCTTCCGTTAATCGTCCTGTACTGAAAATGGAGCGTCCCAGTTTCTTTTATCATCACAGCACATTCACAAGTTTCAAAATGGAAAAAAAAAAAGGTCTCGACAACTGCACAAACAGTTTGTTTTTTTTCACTTTTGTTATTTTTGTCCCAGGACTCAATGCATAGGATTATACAGTTAGAATACAGTATTTCAACGCGTTTTACAAAGATTTATATGATATAGGAAACGAGAAATAAAAATAATAACTGCACAGCAGTAAGAAAGGTCATTTGTCGAGTATAGATAGTCATTTATCGTACACACTGTGGAATAGCTGAGAAACACAGGGCAAAAAATGAACACAACTGGAACAATTTTGCGCATATCCATCTACATAAGGATAACCTTTTGGCTTCAGACTAATTTAGAAATGCCAGACATTTTCAAGGGAAACCCAAATCACATTGGCCACTGTTTTACATTTAATCAGTTTGGCTTTTTTTTTTTATTTTTTTTTGCCTTACCCACCAAAGTCCTACTAAGCACACACCACAGACACCCAAAGGAAATGCACACATCAAAATTGCAACCATAAAAGAAATCTTACTGAAACATCTTCAGCCTATTGGCACGCAAATGGCTGCAGCAGGGCATCTAGCATTTGAGACAGCACACATAAGATCACAAGTCCAAATACATTGCTGTGTCTATATCACTATCATCATCATAGTCACCTAGGTTACCAGTAGAATAATTTAGAAACAATATATGTAATATCCTATATAAGGCACATTTTTGGTGAAAGAAAGGCTCTGAAAGAAGCTTCTTGCATCAACTCTGTCAGTAAGAAAGGACTCAGCAGTAAACAACACCGGAGACAAGGATGGAGCCTGCAGTCGGCATGCAATTAAGATCAAAAGCCTCCCCTGCTGATTCCATTATACAGAGTGCCACTCTGCACTGCGCTGAGTGGGCAGTGCCAAGTGCTGTTGGTCGGGATGCCAGGGTGCCATGCTGAGACAGCAGGCAGGCAAGCTCGAGGTCTGTGCACACCTCTCTCTAGCGAAGGCAGGAATCGTTAACATTCTTGGGGCTGTGGAGAGCGTCATGCGCCGTCAAATCCACACACCCATGATCAGATACAGCGAGTACAATTAAATCATCTGTCAACAGCAAGGCCTACAATTTAGGGACGGCGTCTAATGGCCCAAGAAATAACCAACCTACCCTGGCGACACCTCGGTTCTGACACTGACATATCAATAACCCAATTAATAAAACAATTATGTACACGACTGAACCAAACACCCCCCCTCCCTCCCCCGACATCATACAGAGGCTAAATCCACGATAATTGTTCAGAGCATGCCATTTAAGTACCGACTGAATCTCATCTAAATTATTAACATCAGCGACAGGCTATTTCATAGCTGTAGAGGCAGAATTCTTGATGACTATTTGGAACATTACAAGGGTAATACTAAAAATATGGTACAAAAATCATAAACATGAGCAATGCATAAAACAATTTGAATAGTCTTCTAACATATTGCTGAACTGCTACTTTAGTAAGCAAATGCAACTGTTGATTGTGGCTCATGGTATACTGACATTATTGCAGGGCTAATATGAGTGACACGGATCTGTGGCAGGAAAAATGGTTGCTTCTTGCTGATACATATATGTATATAAAAATAAAACAATAGAGCAAAGGAAAAAAAACTTAAACACAGTCTTTAACTATAATATCTTTAAAACATATTAAATGTCCTTCTGTGCTTTAGTTGAAGTGGAATGTTTCATGGCACTGTACAATAAAGGGAGACAGACTGTGCTATTATCGATTTCCACGAGCACAACAGGCAATCCAGCCGGAACCAAATCCGAGTCAAAAGAAAAACAATATAACTCAAATGTTTCTGAAACGCCTGGTGACCTGTCATTCATATGAGCCTGTACATTGCTAGATTAACCAGCGTCCTTTTGAGGACCCTTTGGTCTCTGTCATAAAGCTCATTGAGAGCACAGGCTCCAGTGTGTTACTGAGTATGGGGGAATTAAAACGACAAAGCAGGCGTCCTGTCACCCTCACGCCTGACAGTAGGCATCCCGTGTGTGCACGCACAATTTCACACATTCGCACACGTGCAATCCACCCAAACGCACACTTAAATTCAACAGCACACACTCTTTTTTGTTTTTTCCACAAGTACTTCACACAGGCATCTACGCACACACAGGCTAATAAAAACACTATCCGCACCACAAGGTGATCCATTTAAAAAGATATTTTTTTCTTATAAAGCTTTCCGCATAAAGACTGCACGATAAAAAAAATATATAATACAACTCTTAAAACCATTTTTTTTTACACAGAGAGAAATTGAACATCTGATTATCTCCTATGCCAGTGCTCCACAGAGGGGCTTAAATCTCAGAGAGAGTTCTGCCGCACTGCATTGTGGGAGCAATATTCAGTGAAGCATGAATGAGTGCGCAGACCTTTAAGGTTTGGCAAGTGAGCTTTAAGGCGTACCTATGACAGTGTAACCCACCATTTTCTTCCTGTCTCCTCTCTTTCTGCATTTCATTAGTCTGTTACTCCACACAGAACAGAAAATTACCCCAGGGCCAAGTTGTACAATAAACACGCCCACATCGGTCCCTTCTCACATTTCCTCATTTCTGGAATTTATTCACTAAAAAAAAAAAGAAAAAAGAAATAAGCCCCTGTAGTCACTGGCGATATTCCCCCTTCCCTTGGTTCTTCCCTCCACTTAGTGGGTTAGAGATCAGTCACTTTGTTTTCCAGGGCGGCTGCTATCTGCTGGAGCCGCAGGGCTAGCTGTTTACTCTGGGCAGCTGGGTCCTCTTCCAGAGAAGCAATGATCTGAGAAGAAAAAAAAAAAAAGGAAGGTAAGAAGGACAGTAAAAAAAAGTGAGATGTTGAGTATAATAGGTGTAGAGGATATAGAGGAGACAAAGAGTTGGACAGAGGATGGCATAAGGGTAATGTCGGAAAAGCAAAGAAACAAGGAGGAGGGGAATGGACAGAGAAGAAGAAAAAGGGTGGAGAGTGGGAGGAGAAGATGGTGTTATTCGACATCAGCAATCACGTTATATAAGCTGTTATTCTTTGCGAGTCCCACTTAGGGGAGACTGACAGCCCCATTTGTTTATCCAACTTGTTCATTAGGTTTTGTTTATCCCCTTTTCGTGACCTCAAGTGGCAATGCACAATGGACTCTTAAAAATCAATTCCCAGAGCAATTTTCCAATTCACATCCCACAGAAATGCTTTCAATTAAAATTTCATACAATCACTCTTCTGGTATATCAAGAGTGAAGAGAGAGAAAAAAAGGAGAACCAATAATATAGTGGGCAGTAGTGCATTCAGTGGAATAGCCTCCTTCGGGTGTGATAGGAAAAAGAAGGGCCTCTTACCCCATCATAGTATTTGCTGGCGTACTGGTAAAGCTGATGGAGAGCCACGTGTGTGTTCAGTTTGTCTGTGTGAGACTGAAAAACATAAACAGAAATTTAAAGGTTAAAGTGGAAATCCAACCAAACCATGAACCTGGACCCAGCTGAATAAACTACACCCAGGCTTTAAAAACTGTGGAGGAGCAAATGAGAATTACTGCACACACATAAATAAGCCTCTGAACAATGCTGATATGTAATGCCACCGGGCATTAAAGTTATAATCCTTAAGATTTTCATAAACTCAAATCCTGTTTTTCATATTACAATATAAACAAAGTCAATTATTGACACGCTTTTTGGTTAAAACCATTTGAGTTAATTTGGCAACAGTGCAAACAAATACACCAGTTCCTCTTTTGTTGTTTTCAGCAGCATGTAGTTGCAAAGTGCACCCTTGGCGCAGTAAGTAAAAATACAATTTTCATACTATCCTTCCTGTGGAAAACATTATGTGGATGCCACATCAATGCAATATGATTCAATTATGACTTTCTCCACTGGTTTCCTGTGTCACCCTATCCTATGTGCTGTCAATTAAAGACAAAAACACCCAAAATAAATGGAACAAAAAAAACCAAAACATTTTAACATTATGGACTTGAAAGTGGACTATGAATCTCGTACAGTTGACATGCCAGTACAAAAGAGGCTTTAATAATAATAATAATAATAATAATAATAATGGATTGCATTTATATAGCGCTTTTCGAGAACCTCAAAGCACTGTACAATTCCACTATTCATTCACTCTCACATTCACACACTGGTGGAGGCAAGCTACAGTTGTAGCCACAGCTGTCCTGGGGCAGAGTGACAGAGGCGAGGCTGCCATATTGCGCCATCGGCCCATCACCAGTAGGCGGTAGGTGAAGTGTCTTGTCCAAGGACACAACGACCAAGACTGTCCGAGCTGGGGCTCGAACTGGCAACCTTCCGATTACAAGACGAACTGCCAACTCTTGAGCCACGATCGTGCTAAGATCATGGCTCAAGAGTTGGCAGTTCGTCTTTAGAAAGGAAATACCTTTTTCTTAACTTATTATATCAATAACTAAGTCCCCAGGGGCATTTGGTTAAAAAAAAACAAAACCAAAAAATCCAACTACCTTAAATGTGTTCAATACCCACACTTGAAGGATGTTAAAAATCATGTTTTGGATGATAATCCAGGACTGAAACCTTAAGGATTGCAACATTAACAGCAAGACAAGTTTTTATCCCAGAGCTGTAAAAGCATTAAATGCTGCATTGTCCACATGATTGTGCTGTGTGCAATGGAGGGTTTTGCAGTTTAGGTGAATGGAGAAAAGTTGTTTTTTTTTCATCTCTTATATAGTTTTATGCAATTTACAGATTTTGTTTTATGACTGTTGTGAGTGATCTCTGCACTATTGCCATTGCACTTATTAACTGCACATGTTAATGAAGTGGCAATGAAGATATTCTACTCTATTGTGTTCTATTCAAATATGACAGATGTATTCCTTACCCGTGACACCTCTGCCAAGTGAGTGTTCATGTCCTGGTCGCTGACAGATACCATCTGCCTGATGCCCTTGTAGTAACTAAACACACAGACACACATAAAGAGTAGACAAGAGGTGGTAATTGCTCCATTATGTTAACTGATATTTAAAAAAAGGTATTACAGTCTCCAATGATAACAGATGGAAAGTGCTGACAGTACTTACTCATCTACCATCTTCTTATAGGTGGAGATCTCCTTTGCATAGAGTAGTTTGTTACTTGGCGAGTCCTAAAGGGGGAGGGATACAACTCAGTGAAAATGGCACTTTAAATTAACGTGCCTATAACCTTCTCACGTAATCAAATTTGTTCTCATCTTCTGTCCATCTTTTCACCCATCTTCCTTTTTTCCTCCTCACTCCTCCACCTCATATTCTCCCACCCCTCCCTCCTCTTGTCCATTCGTTTCCACTCACCCGGCTGAGTTTGTGCTCACTCTTGGTGCAAGCATCCATAAAAGTCTGGGCGATGACAGAGAGTGAGGCGTCCACCACTTCAGACACGTGGACGTCAAAGATGAAGTGGGGATTCTTGAGGATGTTCACCCAGAACCGCAGAGGCAGGCTGCACGGGTATTAAAAAGAGGGGCAAGAAATCAGTGTATCATCACTGGTTGTTATCGGTATTATTGTTTCAGAATTGGGGTGGGGGGGTGGCGGGGGTGTCTCATCAACCGCATTACATCCATGAATTAATTTAAGTCAGGGAGGCATTTCATTTCATGTGTGAGAGCACTTGCCTGAGGTGCAATTGAGTGCAGTACAAGATAATAACGGCGATGGAGAAAAGCCTTTCTTGTCGGTGTCAGTTTATTCAGAACAATACCCTTGACTGTCAGTTTATATTACTGTTTCACACGATGCTGACCTCTGTGAGAACTATTGCTGTTCACAGAAAATTAAATGAAAAAGAAAAAAAATTATCTCTGAAGACTTTTTTTTAACAACTAAAAGGATCTGCACAAAGCAACATCCAATGACGCTTGTCTTAGGGCTGCTCAATTAATCGAATTTTAATCACGATTACAATCTGGGCTTTCAACGATCATTAAAAATG